TTATATTCGTTGTTTTTTTTAATGTTAATATGAAACCAGATTAAATTACTGATATACCTATACGCTGATATGTTAATTGTTATATTCGTTGTTTTTTTTAATGTTAATATAAAACTAGATTAAATTGGTGATATACCTATACGCAGATAGCAAGATAAATGGATAGATACGTAGATAGATAGACAGATAAATATAGATAAATAGACAAATTAATTTCCGATGATGTAATAAGTGATATTTTAATAAGTACTGTCATCTTTTGCTTTATTTCATTAACAAAACTAGTAAATAATAGAAATAAGGAATTCACAAGTGAGAAACGTAAGAATCAGCTGGAGAATCAAGAAACGGGATAAGAATCAGCTGGGGCGACTTGAGGAAAGAAAAAGTGAATCTTTAATTCGACCATTTTTTTAAATAGTTTTTTTTGTGAATCATAAATTCGACATTTTTTTAAATAGTTTTTTTTTTTTTGTGAATCATAAATTCGACATTTTTTTAAATAGTTTTTTTTTTGTGAATCATAAATTCGACATTTTTTTTTAAGTTTAAAAGTTTTTTTTCTACGGCGAAATATGAGAAGCGATAGGTAATGCTCGTGATTGAAGAAGATATGAGAGGAATATGATTCGGAAAAAGAGAAAAAAAAAGATGAAGGCAGAAAGTCTCGTGTCTGTGACCTAGAGAATCGAGGATGAAAGTGAGGCTCGGTAAAGAGAGTGAGAGAGAGAGAGACAGAAACAGAGATAGACAGACCGACAGAGAGAGAGAGAGAGAGAAGGAGAGACAGAGAGAGACAGCCAGAGAGAGAGAGACAGACAGACAGACAGAGACAGAGAGAGAGAACCAGAGAAAGAGAGAGAGGGAGAGAGAACCAGAGAAGAGACAGGAGAGAGAAACGACAGGGAGAGAGAACCAGAGAAAGAGAGGGAGAGAGAACCAGAGAAAGAGAGAGAGGGAGAGAGAACCAGAGATAGAGACAGCCAGAGAGAACCAGGGAAAGAGAGAGAGGGAGAGAGAACCAGAGAAAGTGACAGGGAGAGAGAACCAGAGAAAGAGAGAGAGAGAGAGAAAGACAGAGACAAAAACAGAACAGCGAAAGAGAGAGAAAGAGAGACCAACAGACCGACAGACCGAGAGAGAGAGAGAGAAAGACAGACAGACAGACAGAGAAGAGAGAGACCAACAGACCGACAGACCGAGAGAGAGAGAGAGAGAGAGAGAGAAGAGAGAGAAGAGAGAGAGAGAGAGAGAGAGAGAGAGAGAGAGAGAGAGAGAGAGAGAGAGAGAGAGAGACCGACAGACCGAGGAGAGAGCGAGAGAGAGAGAGAGAGAGAGAGAGACCGACAGACCGAGAGAGAGAGAGAGAGAGAGAGAGAGAGAGAGAGAGAGAGAGAGAGAGAGAGAGAGAGAGAGAGAGAGAGAGAGAGAGAAGAGAGAGACCAACAGACCGACAGACGAGACCGACAGAGAGAGAGAAAGACCGAGAGAGAGAGAGAGAGCGAGAGACCGAGAGAGCGAGCGAGGGACAGTGGACACGCGGCGCCGGACAGGAAAGCGCGGCGGCCACAGGTTCCCGGATGTGGGTCGAGGCGCCAAATGCTGGCGATGGATTTCTTTTTATCCCGGTCGAGGCGAGGTGGGATTAACATCTCCTCTGCCGGATGTTTACTGGTGTTGGATTCACCCTTCTCGGTTTGCTTGTCTCTCCGTTTCTGTTGGTTACTTTTTATCTTTGTTTTTCTCATCTCTTTCTCTTTCTGTCTGGTCTCTCTCTGTCTCTCTGGTCTCTCTCTGTCTCTCTGGTCTCTCTCTGTCTCTCTGGTCTCTCTCTCTCTCTCTGGTCTCTCTCTCTCTCTCTCTCTCTCTCTCTCTCTCTCTCTCTCTCTCTCTCTCTCTCTCTCTCTCTCTCTCTCCTCTCTCTCTCTCTCTTCTTTGTTTTATTTTCACTTCTCTCTTTCACACTTTGTCCTACCTTTTCCATTTACATATCCCTCTCTTTCTCTCGCCTCTCTTTTACCTTCTACCTCTCCTTCACATTCTCCTTCTCTCTCTATCTCTCTCCCATGTTTTACCACTCTCTCTCTCTCTCTCTCTCTCTCTCTCTCTCTCTCTCTCTCTCTCTCTCTCTCTCTCTCTCTCTCTCTCTCTCTCTCTCTCTCTCTCTCTCTCTCTCCCTCTCTCCTCTCCCTCTCCCTCTCCTCCTCCCTCCCCCCTCCCTCCTCTCCTCCCTCCCTCCTTCTACATCTCCCGCTACCCCCACCCCTCCCCCTCCCTCTCCTTCACGTAACCATGGCAACGTACCCCGATACAATCCTCCATGAAAAATCAACCTCTTTCCGATTTCAACTTCCCTCTTCGCAAATTTGAATAGCATTAGGTAAGAATTAAACTCACTGTATCAAGAAGAAGAGACAAAACAGAGAAAAAAGGAGACAAAGAATAAAAAAAAGGAGGCAAAGAATATAAAATACGCCTTTTCTTTGCAAATGTAGGCATT